CATGAAAATGCAACATGCTGTAAATAATAAATAAAAATTACCCACAACCCAGCAAAAATCACTATTAACACTTGGGCGTGTCTCCTTCTGGACATTTTTCTCTCTATGATAGATTTTTACATACATCAATATAAATATAGTGAAACAATTTTTTATACCAAATTGGAATTATATATCTATTTCATATATATATATGTGTGTATATATATATACACATATATATGTGTGTGTGTATATACATGTATGAATATGTATGTATGTATGTATGTACGTGTGTGTGTATATATATATATATATATAGTTGTATCTTGCTTTTTGGGGCTTAATGTTACATTGCAAGCATTTTCCTATGTCATTAAATAGGATTTTAAATAATTCCATAATATTCTATAACATTTCCTTATTTGGACATACCACCACTTACTTGATAAGTTCTCTATTTGGAATTTTATGTTGCTTCAGCCTATCCACTAAAAAAATGGGTTTTAGAGAAAGTATTTAGAAATCCTTTGTTGATCCGTTCAGTATTTTTTAAAATAGTGAATACGAAAACTGCAAGCCTCAAACAGGTAGAATTATAATAAAAATTGTTAATTATTGAGCAAAGAGGCCTTGCGAATTTCTATTTCTGAGATCTCACAATAAAGTTTTCTTCTCTGGAGACTTAGGTGGGATGGGTGCTGAGAGCCTGGGAGGTAAGCTTATAAAAGCAGGAAAAGGAGCAGTCAGACACCGGTCTGAGTCCTTCTAGTCCCCTCCCAGCTCTCTGAACTGGATGCTGCCTCCGCCAGTGTGACTCCCTTCTCTACTCCCAGCCCAAAGCCACCGTCACCGCTGGGCAGGCCCCTCCTGGTTTCTCTTCTTCCTTGATCTTGAAACTTTCTGGGTGAAGCTAAACTCTTGTGAGCAGAGCAGGCTGATCCCATTCCTGAGATCAGGAGGAAAGAGTTGGAATCTATCCCTGAGATCTCACTGGTACCCGGAAGTGCTTCCTTCTGGCAACTATCTATTTCCTACTCTGGGATTTCCTGGCTGCCCACAGGTTCCTACATGAAATCCAGCTGAACTGTGCTGTTAACAAGATGAGCGTGGATAATCTGGCTACTGTGATTGGTGTGAATCTCATCAGGTCGAAGGTAGAAGACCCTGCTGTGATCATGAAAGGTACGGCTGGTCCTGTGGTGAAGGCAGACGCAGAGGAAGTAACAGCAGTTATAACACTAGCCCTTATGTTTGTGCACTGATCTGCAATTTCCCACGCCTTTTCGAGTGATTATCTTGTCCGAATTGCAAAATAGCCTGTGAAGTAGGCAGGGCAGGAATTGTGTCCATTTTTCAGATCACAGCAGTGGTTAAAGATTTACTCAATGGTTACACAGTACAATAAGCTAGCACAGAAATTTAGCTAGTGTTTCTTGATCTTTTATTACATCTAAATACCCTTAGCCAGAAAAAAACAAACGTTTCATTTGATAAGCCAAGTCACAAAATGGCTACTTCTAAAGCTGTATTGAAAAGGCTTCTGAGGTTGTCTTGGTTCAGTGAGCAAAAGTCCTGGCATAGAGGACTGATGTCTGACATGAATTTGGGGAGGCAATATGCCTGTCACGTATTCACTATGTGTGCAATAAGAAATCAGATATCATATTGAGAATCACATTGGGAGAGATAGGTATCTCCATCTTTTCTCTGTTAGATTGCTTATTTCCTGATTAAAGACTGATCCAATGGAACGTAGGCTGAAAATAACCCTTTCGCCCCACTTTCACATCCTTCTTTATCCCATCCCTTTCACCACAGTCTCTTGTCCCAAGCAATTAAGAAGGTTTCTGTGAGGAGCAAAAGGAGGTCCTTTGGGGTCCTGTGGTTTTAGAGCCACGTTTGGAAACATCCCAAGCACGGAGACCCTTGAGGACTGCCTGCCTCCTGCCCCATGGTCCTGTACTATAAATCCTTTTCTTCTTTGTTCAGGTACTCCTCAGATCCAAAGAGTAATGACCATGATGATCAGAGACCATGAAGTCCTCTTCCCCAAGTCCAAGGATGCACCTCTGTCACCCCCAGCCCAGAAAAATGACCCCAAGAAACCTCCAGTGGCTCGAAGCTCTGTGGGCTGGGATGCCACTGAAGATGCCCCAATTTCTAGGACAGACAGCTTCAGTAACATGGTAAGGTGCAAAGAGTCTTTCTTCTTCCATCTGACTCTTCCTTTAGCCCAGGTCATTCCATTTAAGAACTATTTTGGGGGTGGGAATTTGGAGAGTTTTAGATGATGCTGTGGCAGTGGGCATAGTTGATACAGACTTATCTGAATGCATCTTGAAAGCTTTGCCTCTTTCAAAATCTAGTTTCTTCTAGCATCCAGGAGGTGGGGTTAGTGACGTGTGTGCCAATCACCAGGCAACCGAGCAATGGGACTCCTCACTGAAGCCCACTCTACAAGCGGGCTTTGGAATACAATGGGGAAGGTTTCATGGGGGAAAAGATATACCACCTTGTAAATGTTTTAGTGAGGGCTGTTAAAAATTCTGGGTCAAAGTCCAGAGAGAACTGGTTTCCTGCTAACCCATGAAACGTGATTTCTTTCTCAGAGTACGCAATGTGTTCGTGTAATATTTCTCATTCCCTGATAAGTTGTCTCAGCTATGTCCACCCCCTCGTTTGTGCTGAAGGGTTGGGACTCACGTTCCTAATGTCAGAAAACTCTGCAGACTCTGAAATTTAGATTATTTGAGGGCAATAATTTACAAAGGTCAAATATTTTTATATATTTATAGAAACAGATATTCAAAAAAAAGAAAAAGAAAAGAACATGTGAACTTTATATAGCAGACTGCTTCTTTATGTAGTGACCAAGAAATGAATTAAAAATTTTGAGTTAACCAGATAATGTGAATTACCTAGAGTACTGTTAATCCTGAGGATGATTAAGAAAGAATTGAAAAAATAATTAGGTAGTGGTAGTGGTGGTGATTTTTCTTAGGTGATATCTGGACACAGTGCATCTTACTAACACCCGAAATTTAAATTAATATTTAGAAATGCTTGTACTTCATATAATGGAATCATAGTAGTCCTTGAGAGTAGCCATGATTATGTTCACTTGCCAGGTTTCTGCTATCGATTTTAAAAGTGTGGGCAGCTACGGGCAGGTACTATGCTAGGAAATTTAAACAGATCACCTTTGAGTCTTCACCCTTACTCTGTAGGGCAGAATTTATCATGCACATTTTATGGGTGATGACCTAAGTCTCAGGAAGGTTGACCAGCTGGCACGAGGTGACAATCCTAGAATGTTACAGAATGGAATTTAGATTTAGTTCTCATCTCAAGGCCCAGGTACTTCTGACTCTCAAATGGGGTTGCTGAAGCATGTGATTAGCTACAAAGGTTACAGGAAGAGCTTGAGCCCTAATTTTCTTGTTTTACCTTTCGGGCTCTTTTTTACTTCTCTTTTTCTGTTTAATTTAACTTAAAACATGCAATACATACACATGGTTGAAAATAAATAAAAAATATATGATAAAAAGAGATGTAGTGAGAAGTTCTGCTTCCTCCTCTGTCTCCACCCACCCCATCCTTTCCTGCCTTGATTAGTTTTTTCCCCTCTATGCTGTACTTTACATCCCTGTGATTATATTGTAACAACCAATTTGTACTTCTTAATCACACTTTTTACCTTTTTTACCCAACCTCCATCTGGCAATCATCATTTGTTCTCTGTATCTATGAGTCTGCTTCTGTTTTGTTTTGCTCATTTATTTTGTTCTTTAGATTAAACATATAAGTAATATCATATGGCATTTTTCTTTCTCTGTCTGACGTATTTCACTTAGCATAATATCTTCTAGGTCCATCTATGTTGTGGCAAATGGTAAGATTTCATACTTTATATGGACAAATAATATTCCACTGTATATATGTGCCACTTCTTCTTCATCATTTATTGATGGGCACTTAGTTGACTTCCATATCTTGGCTATTGTAAATAACACTGCAGTGAACATAGGGGTACATATATCCTTTTGAATTGATGTTCTAAATTTCTTCAAATAAATACCTAGAAGTAGACTTGTTTTGATAAAAGTAATTCTATTTTAATTTTTTGAAGAACCTCCAAGCTGTGTTCCATAGTGCTACATCAATTTGCAATCCCATCAATACTACACGAGAGTTCCCTTTTCTCCACATCCTTGTCAACAATTGTTGTTTGTTGATTTATTGATGATAGCTATTCTGACAGGTGTGAAGTGATATCTCATTGTGGTTTTAATTTGCATTTTCTCTGATGATTAGTGACATCGAGCATCTTTTTATATGTCTTTAGAGGAATTTCTATTCATTTTTTAATTGCATTGTTTGTTTTTGTGGTGTTAAGTTGCATGAGTTCTTCATAAATTTTTGATATTAACTCCTTATCAGATATATCATTGGCAAATATCTTCTCCCATTTGGTAGGCTGTCTTTTTGTTTTGTTGCTGGTTTCCTTTGCTGTGCAAAAACTTTTTAGTTTGATGTAGTTCCATCTGTTTATTTTTTCTTTTGTTTCCCTTGACCATGGAGATATATCAGGAAAAAAGAGCAATGTCAGAGAGCTAACTGCCTATGTTTCTTTCTAGAAGTGCTATGATTTCAGGTCTTACATTTAAGTCTTTTATCCATTTTGAGTTTATTCTTATATGTAGTGGAAGAGTGTGGTCCAGTTTCATTTTTTGCATGTATCATCTAGTTTTCCAAACACCATTTATTGAATAGATTGTCTTTACTGCATTGTATTGTTCTAATAGTTCTTTTTGTAAAATCTTTAGGGTTCTCTATATACAGTATCATGTCTACTGTAAATAATTACAGGTTTATTTCTTTCCAGTTTAGATGATTTTTTTTTTCCTGTCTGATGGCTGTGACTTGGACTTCCAATACTATGTTGAATGAAAGTGGTACAAGTGATCATCCTTGTCTTATTCCTGATCTTAAGGAAAATGCTTTTAGACTTTCCCCATTAAGTATGATGTTAGCTGTGGGTTTATCATACATGGCCTTCATTAAGTTGAGGAATGGAAGTTCTCTCCATTCCCACTTTGTTGATTTTTTTTATCATAAATGGATGCTAGATTTTGTTAAATGCTTTTTCTGCATCTATTGATATGATTATATGAGTTTTATCTCTTAATCGTTAATGTGGCATATCACATTAATTGATTCGCGGATATTGAATCAACCTTGCATCCCAGGAATAAATCCAACTTGATGATGGCATATGATTTTTTTAACTGTGTTGCTGAATTTGGTTTGCTAATATTTTGTTGACGATTTTTGCATCTATATTCATCAGGAATATCAGCCTATCATTTTCTTTCTTTGTAGTATCTTTGTCTGGTTCTGGAATCAAGGTAATGGTGGCCTCATAAAATGAGCTTGGGAGTTTTCCTTATTCTTGAGAAGAATAGATATTAATTCTTCTTTGAGTTTTCAGTAAAATTCACCTGTGAAGCCAAAGTCATCTGGTCCAGGACTTCTGTTTGTTGTGAGTTTTTTGATTAGTGATTCGATTTCGTTAGTAGTAAGCGGTTGGTTCAGATTTTCTATTTTTTCTTAATTTAGTCTTAGTATTTGTTTTTTATTTTTCTTTAGTGTTCTTTTATGCAAATATAAGCAGATATGAATGTAAACATTTACCTCCCTTTTTACATAAAATGTAACATAATCTTTCACATACACACTCTCTCTACAAATACACACACACACACACACACACACACACACACACACACACACACACACACACACACACACACACACACACACACACACACACACACACACACACACACACACACACACACACACACACACACACACACACACACACACACACACACACACACACACACACACACAATCTCCATTCTGTATCTTGAATTTTTTAACTTAACAGTATATCCTGGAGACTTTTTGAGGTCAATACATAGAAAGCTACCTCATGTTACCTCATATTTTTAGCAGATGGATAGTGTTAGATTCTGCACATGTACCATAATCTACTTAACTAGCCTCTATAAACAGGTTGTTTTTACTTCTTTGTATGCCAAACAAGGTTGCAATGAATAATCTTGACCATGCTTCATTTTGTACACAGGCAGATGTATTTCTGGGCTAAATTCCCAGACATGGTATTGCTAAGTCAGAAGGTAAATAAATTTGTAATATGAAATTTTTATTAAAATTATCAAATAAAGTTTTTGCCAGCTTTTACTTTCACCAGCAATGCATAAAATAACCTGTTTCCTTACAGTTTCACCAGCAGAGGTGTGCTGTCAAATTTTTTTTTGGGTGGGGAGGGCGGGCCCGTTTGATAAGTATGAACCGATATTTTGGTAATTTTAATTTTTAGTTTATTCTATTATAAGAGTCCAAACATCTTTTATGTATAAGGGCCAGTTGCATTTCCCTCTGTGAATCATCTGATTTTTTCTTTGCCTATATTTATATTAGTTATTGGTCTTTTGCTTTTCAATATTTAAGAGCCTTATATATTAAGGAAAGTAGCCTGCTGTCAGTAGCCAGTTTGTCATTACAAACATTTTTGCCAGTTTGTCATTTCTCTGTTGATTTAGCCTGTGGTGATTTATTTGTTTTAATTTTGATCTTTTTAGTTTTGGGGGTCATGGAAACCTATGTAGTTTGAATTTATCAAACTTTTCTTTCATGGCTTCTGGATTTTGAGTCACAGCTAAAAAAGCCTCCCCATTCAGGAGTTATAAAAGAATCCTAGTTTATAATTCTTTTACCACAAACAAACAATGCTTTTCGTCAGTGCTCTACCTCTAGGGTATGAGTTCCTTCAAGTGCAATGCCATTTAAAAAAAATGCCACGTAGGTAATCAACTGATGTGATTGTCTTCTGATTAAAAGTTTCATAGGTCTACAGTCAGGAGATACTTTCTTTCAATTTCTAATTTTTATCTTAGGAGCATGACATATGTTGGAAAAACCCATGTAACATCTGTGGCCATTTTTTTATAGACTAAAGACTCAGAAGCAACCAGCCCCACTGGACAACAGCCGAATGACGGGTGTCTAGGAGATGGTAGTAAACCCCCCAGGGAAAAGCCAGGAGATTGGAAGCTGCAGTCACGAAAAAGGACTCAGACGCTCCCTAACCGGAAGTGCTTCTTGACAGCAGCTTTTCAAGGCGCCAACAGCAACAAAGTGGAGATCTTTAAAAATGAGTTCTGGTCACCTTCTTCAGAGGTGAAGGCAGAGGAAGGGCATAGGAGAACACTGTCTCAAGGTGTGCCAAACTTTTCCGACATCCAGAGGACTTCCACCTATGATAATGTCCCTACCCTGCCGGGGTCCCCTGGAAATGAAGCAGGTGCAGTTTCTTTCCATGCCTGTGACTCAAAAAAAGATACTCTTGCTAGCCCAAGCTCTGAAACTGGGCCTGGGACAAAGAACTCTGGAGAAGAAGAACTTGAATCTTTGCAAAGGATGGTTCAGGAGCTGCAAAAGGAAATAGAAACACAGAAGAAAATGTATGAAGAACAGATTAAAAAGTAAGTCATATGCAGAGGGGAGGAGAGCCACTTGCCTTCCATCTTTTAAAGCAGTAGGGATTGTTATCATCTGCCAAAGAAGTGCCATTATAAACCTTCAGTTTAGAGGATACAGTAATCTGTAGAAGTTGGACCTAATAAGGAAAAGGGTAAAGGAAGTGATGAGATGACTAAATTAGTGAAAATTCTAAGTTTTAAATTAAATTCGTGAAAAGTTAAGTATGTAGCTTAAGTAGCTTAATCAACTTTTTCTAAATAGTGGTTCTTTAAGGATCAACACGCTTTAATGAATTAAGAGGAACTTTAAAATTTTTTCATGTTAATGTGATTCATCTATTTTGAAAATACTTATTAAGCATCTTCTGTGTGCCATTGTTAGGGAATAACAATGAATGAAAGACAAAAGTCTCTGTGCTTATAGAGCTTTTCTTCTTGCAGGGACAGACAGACAATACAAATAAGTAATGAGAATATATTCTATGCCAGATGATGGAAAATGCCATAGAAAGAAATAAAGCAAGGCAGGAGGTTGGGGGGTTCAATATGGGGGTTCCAGTGTTAAATGGAGTGGTCAGGAAGGCCTCTTTGAGAAGGTGGTATTAAAACAAAGGCCTAAAGTAGACGAAGGAGTGAGTCTGGTCCACATATGGGGGAAGAGTAGGCCAAATGGAGAGAACCAAAGATACAGAAGCCTGGGAAAGGAGCAGGTCTTGTATTTCATGCACAGGAAGAGCAGTGGTGGGCTGCAGCAGAGGGAAGTAACTAAGAGGAGAGAGGGCAGATAAGTGCAAGAATCCAGAGCACATAGGGCCTTGTTAGCCACCTTAAAGACTGAGTAAGACAGAGATCCTGGAAGCTTGACTTGACTGAAGCTTCACTGAATTACTAGCTTCCCACTGAGCTCAGTCTATAAGGGGCAAAGGAAAGCAGGAGGTCATTGAGGTGGCCATTAACACAATTTCATGTACATCCCTAAGGTGCATGGATACAATTTGCGCTCTTGGGTAGATAAGCTATGTCCTTGATATCTTTTTCACACTACTGATTTTCCATGAGAGAAAACTTCAATCCAGCTTAGCCCATATTAACAATAATCATGACAGAGTGAAATGTGAACTAATGGGGTTTTATAAGTATTTTTCAGTCCATTAAGACTCAGGTTCATTCAGCAACAATCAACAGGCCTTGGCTCGCACCTTCGGAAACATTTTTGGTGGCAGGAAACTAGCCCCAGCCTGATCTGCAGTATTTCTTGAATAATTTCAAGGTCTCACAGGCCTGAGGCAGGCAGTGGCTGGCCTCAGTGTCATCTGAGACTTTTGTGAGGGGCTATAGGCTCAGCACTGAAACCAATTCTGAATCTGCATTAATCTGATGAACAATACTTGCCCTATCCTGGGACCTCACTTCAGTCAACTCACATACTATCCAAGGCTTTTTCAGCTGTTGAGTCTTTTAGGCAGCTGGCAGACAGCCTCAGGAGGACTTGGGTTCCCTGAGCCTTTTGCTGAGCTATCTCAATCCCAGTACTAGTGGCAGCCAGCCTTGGTTCACAGCATGGCCTTGCCTACGTGCTTCAAGGTTCAGCACAAGAAGTGAGCAACCACAGATAGCTTTGCAGTTCTTATCAGATAGTCCTGGGGCCAGTCACAGGTAGCAGCTTACCTTGGCCTGCACGGGAGCCCCTCCCAAGAGGCCCCAGTACCAACACATCTGGAAGCTGGTGTCAGACCACAACAGAACACCACCCGATTAGCCCCACAAGTGGCACACCCAAAGGATGGTCTCGATAGGCACATGAGTCTGCTGGGGTGAATCCTATTTGTTGTGTCAGCCCCCGCACAGCAGCTCATATGCTGTAGGCATGGCCAATACTCATAGCCAGTCAGCCTGAGAGTCAGTCCCACTCAGAGATGTGCCAGCAGCAATCAAGCTTCAACAACAACTGGAGGGCACACACAACCTACACAGGGACACTCCTAAAGCATCTGGTTCAGGAGATCAAAGAGATTGTGCCACTGGGACACACAGGGAACATACTACATAAGGACATTTAGCCAAGACTGAGAGACATAGCAGATCTACCTAATCCATAGAAATGAACACAGAGAGGTAGCCACAATGAGAGAACAAAGAAAGATGTCCCAAATGAAAGAACAGGAGAAAATTCCAGAAAAAGAACTAAATGAAACAGAGGCAAACAACCTACCAGATACAGAGTTCAAAATACTGGTTATAAGCTCAATGAACTTACAGGAAGAATAGATGATCTCAGTGAGAACTTCAACAAAGAGAGAGCAAAAAAAGGACATAGAAACCATTAAAAAAAAAACCAGTCAGAAATGAAGAATATAATAACAAATGAAGACTACACTAGAAGGAATTAACAGTCAATTAGATGAAACGGACGATCAAATCAGAGATTTGGAAGACAAGGTAACAAAAAACACCCAATTAGAACAGCAAAAAGAAAAAAAGAATTTTAAAAAATGATATTTCAAGGACTTCTAGAATAACATCAAGCGTAATAAGATTGCATCAAGGAGAAGAGAGAAAACAAGAAATTGAGAACCTATTTGAAGAAATAATGAATGAAAACTTCCCTAACCTGGCAAAGGAAATAGACATACAAGTCCAGAAAGTACAGAGAGTCCCAAACAAGATGAACCCAAAGAGGCCCACACCAAGACACATCATAATTAAAATGGCAAAAGTTAAAGACAAACAGAGAATCCTAAAGGTGGCAAGAAAAAGGCAGTTAGTTACTCACAAGAGAGCTCCCATTAAAACTGTCAGTTGATTTCTCAATAGAAACTTTGCAGGCCAGAAGAGATTGGCATGAAATATTCAAAGTGATGAAAAGTAAGGACCTATAACCAAGACCACTCTACCCAACAAGGCTATCAGTTAAAATAGAAGGTGAAGTAAAGAGTGTCCCAGACAGAAAAACACTAAAGGAATTCATCACCACCAAGCCAACATTATAAGAAATGTTAAAGGGACTTCTTTAAGAAGAAGAACAGAAAGGGGAAAGAACATAAATATGAATAATAAAATGGTAATAACTATGTACCTATCAATAATTACTTTAAATATAAATGGATTAAATGCTCCAATCAAAAGACAGAAGATTACTGAATGGATAAGAAAACCATACATATGCTGTCTACAGTAGAACCACTTCATATTGGAAGACACACACAGACTGAAAATAAAGGGAAGGAAAAAGATATTTTATGCAAATGGAACAAAAACAAAGTTGAATTAACAATACTTATATCAGACAAAAAGCTTTAAAACAAAGATTGTAAGAAGGACATTACATAATGATAAAAGACTCAATCCAACAAGAGGACATGATCCTAGTAAACATTTATGCACGCAACATAGGAGCACCTAAATATACAAAGCAAATATTGACTGACATAAATGGAGAGATCTACAATAATACAGTCATCGTAGGGGACTTTAACATCCCATTGACACCAATGGACAGATCTTCCAGACAGAAAATCAACAAGGAAATAGTGGCCTTAACTGACACACATGACCAAATGGATTTAATTGCTATTTTTAGAGCCTTTCACCCCAAAGAAGCACAATATACATTCTTCTCAGCTGATTTCTCAACAGAAATTTTGCAGGCCAGAAGAGATTGGCATGGAATATTCAAAGTGATGAAAAGCAAAGACCTACAATCAAAACTACTCTGTCCAGAAAGGCTAGCAATTAAAATTGAATGCAAGATGGACCACATGTCAGGCCACAAAACAAGTCTCAATAAATTTAAGAAGATTGAAATCATATCAAGCATCTTCTCTCACCACAAGTATGAAACTAGAAATCAATTACAGGAAGAAAACTGAAAACTACACAAATACATGGAGGCTAAATAACATACTACTAAACACTGAATGGGTTAATACTGAGATTAAAGAGGAAATCAAAAGATAACCTTGAGACAAAAGAAAATGAAAACACAACAAAAATCTATGGGACACAGCGAAAGCAGTCCTGAGAAAGAAATTCACAGCAATACAGGCCTACCTCAAGAAACAATAAAAATCTCAAATAAACAATCTAACTTACACATTAAGAAACTAGAAAAAGAAGAGCAAACAAAGCCAAAAGTGAGTAGAGGAAGAAAATTATAAAAATCATAGGAGGAATAAATAAAATAGAGACCAAAAAAAAAAAAAAAAAGCAGTGCAAACGATAAGAGAAATCAAGAGCTGGTTCTTCGAAAGATAAACCTTTAACCAGACTCATCAAGAAAAAAAAAGAGAGAGGACCCAAATAAATAAAATCAGAAATGAAAGAAGAGAAGTGACAACAGACTCCATAGAAATACAGGATTATAAGAAAATAGTATAGGCAATTATATGCCAACAAAATGGATAATCTGGAAAAAATAGATAAATTCCTCGAACAACAATCTTCTAAGACTGAGTTAAGAAGAAACAGAAAATATGAACCAACTGTTTACTACTATTGAAATCGAATCAGTAATCAAAAAATTCACAACAAATAAAAGTCCTGGACCAGATGGCTTCACAGGTGAATTTTACTGAAAACTAAAAGAAGAATTAACATCTATTCTTCTCAAACTATTCCAAAAAATTCAAGAGGAAAGAAAGCTCTCAAGCTCATTTTACAAGGCCACCATTACCCTGATTCCAAAACCAGACAAAGATACTACAAAGAAAGAAAATGATAAGCTGATATCCCTGATGAACATAGATGCAAAAGTCCTCAACAAAATATTAGCAAACCAAATTCAGCAATACATTTAAAAAATCGTACGCTATCATCAAGTTGGATTTATTTTTGGGATGCAAGGTTGATTCAATATCCACGAATCAATTAATGTGATATGCCACATTAACAATTGAGAGATAAAATTCATATGATCATATCAATAGATGTAGAAAAAGCATTTGACAAAATCCAGCATCCATTTATGATAAAAAATTAACAAAGTGGAGATGGAGAGAACTTCTATTCTTCAACATAATAAAGGCTATGTATGAAAACCCCACAGCTAATGTAGTACCTAATGGAGAAAATCTAAAAGCATTTTCCTTAAGATCAGGAATAAGACAAGGATGACCACTTGTACCACTTTCATTCAACATAGTATTGAAAGTCCGAGTCACAGCCATCAGACAGGAAAAAAAATAAAAGTCATCTAAATTGGAAAGGAAGAAGTATAACTGTCATTATTTATAGTAGACACGATACTATATAGAGAGAACCCTAAAGATTTCTAAAAGGGACTATTAGAATCAGTAAAGGAATTCAGTAAAGTAGCAGGATACAAAATTAATATTCAGAAATCGGTTGCATTTTATACACTGATAATGAACTATCAGAAAAAGAAATTAAGAAAACACTCTCATTTACAAATGCTTCAAAAAATACCTACGGATAAACTTAACCAAGAAGATAAAACACCTGTACTCAAAAATTTATAAGACACTTAAGCAAGAAATTGAAGAAAATACAAATAAATGGAAGCATATTCTGTGCTCATGAATAGGAAGGATTAACATTGTTAAAATGTCCACACTACCCAAAGCAATCTATAGATTCAGTGCAATCTCAATCAAAATACCAGTGCATTTTTCACAGAACTGGAACAAGAATCCTAAAATTTATATGGAACCACGAAAGACCCCAAATAGCCACAGCAATCTTGAGAAGAAAGAACAAAGTTGAAGGTATCACAATACCTGATGTCAAACTATAC